TTTAAATAAAATATTATAAATTATAATGTAACTGAATTAAACGAGCTTGAGTTTTAATAGAAAATTTTATAATTTTATTAAATAGTAGATATATTATATGTGAAAGCCATAGTTTAAAAACTTCAAAATAAAGTTGTTGGTTTTATATAAAATTATTATAGATCTATTGTAACTTTCTGTTAATTTTTGAAAAATATAATCTAGAAAAAAATTATCAAACACATATATATTTAAAAATACTATATGGTTATAAGAAAAAACTTTCAGCTGCAATCCCAAACATATCCTAAACCTTCATGTTGTAAATGTTATCCTCAATAAACATTGTCAAGAAATCTTTTCTATCATATATGGTAAATTCATAAGGAATTGGGATAATTGGTATAGCAATAGTTAAGTCACTTTCTTTTTGGCATCAATGTTGCCAAATATATATTTTTTTAATGGGTATCTTAGCTAATTAACCATAAAACAAAAGGAGTTCCATACAATTCGATTTTGAATTATTTAAGATCTAACATGATTTTTAGATATTGAAGTAATAAAAAGTTCATAAAATAAAGGAAAAGAAAAAAAGGTGAAGCACATAACAATGCTCTCCCTTTTGATTTTCTAATTTAAAAAATCGTGCAGACACCTGTCATTAGACTAAAAATCAAAGTAAGACAAAAGGAAAAAAAAAAAAAAAAAAAAAATATAACTTAGTCTTAAAAGTTAAAACATTCAAAACACTCTTTTCGTTTCTTTCTTTTCTTAATTTGATCTAAAGACCAACATTCAAGGCACAAACTCCTCTTGATTCTCCTGGTAGTACTCTTCCATGGTGTTGAACTCATTGGAATTCTGTGTACTCCCAAAATACCCCTGATTTCTAACACCTCCCCTCGCAGCCTCATACCCATAATTGGGATAATTATTCTCATTCTTCACGTCATAATAGTACTTTCCACCCTCCACAAACCTTGTGTCACTCAATCCTTGCCTCTCACTCTCATATCCATTGTTGTTGTAATTGCTAGCAGTGTACCTACTATTCTTGTAATTCTCAGCATTGCCATTGTTCATGTACTTGTTACCAGTGGTGGTGGTGGTAGCCGCGGTGTAGCCATTGTTGTAATTGTAGTTGTTAGTGGTGGCCGGCGTGGTGGTGTACCCATTGTTGTAATTGTAGTTGTCAGTGGTGACCTCTTTGGTGGTGTAACCATTGTTGTAGTTGTAATTTTTGTTTTGGTAGCCTGTTTGGTAACTTTCACCGACAAGCTCTTCATCTAAGAGATCATTGTCATCATTGGTGGTAGTGGGGGTGTTGGTAGTCTCCTTTTCCGGAATAACAAGGCCAGAGCCTGGACCAAAAAGGCCATAGTAGCTCTTTGTAACCGGCGCGGGTGCGGGTGCGGTTGCAGGGTAAGGTGTAGGTGCCTCAGTGGGAGGCAAAATGGTGGTGCTAATGCTAGCATGGGTGATCTTGCTAAAGAACTTGCTCTCTCTAGCTTGAATTTGGAGAAAAGAGGAGAGAATTACAAGGAATAAGAAAGACATGGATTTTGCCAACGAAAAATCCATTGAATGGGATTGGGAAAATTTTGAAAAGTAGAATGAAGGGGAATTGGTGAGTGTTTAATATGTTGAAATCTTTTATAGACCATCTTGGTGCATTGATGGCGAGGAATTATGCGGGGATTGAGGAAATGGGTACAAAGTGTGGGGTATGGAACATAATGGCATTGAGGTCACGCTTCCATGTGCAATTTCATGAGAATGTCTAAAAGCAGGCATCCAAAATCTTCACTCAACTAACTACCAAATTAAAGTAGTCAAAAGGGTTTTGGTTATTTTCATTTTTTGCAACTGAAACAACTAATAGTACTCTTTTGCTTAAAAAAAAAAAAAAAGGACAACATGTATAAGCTTCTATTTTTTAATAGCAGTACATTGAAAGCATTGTTATGGATGCAATCCCATGTGACTGGAGTAGTCATGTTTCTACGTATGAGAAGTAAGATGAAATACAACACATGATTATTAGATTAACACATGATTATTAGATTAACACTTCAATCGATACTCGAGTAAATATTAATTTACTAACTATGTTTATTACTGTCAAAATAAAATAAAAAAAGCATTGTTATGGACACCATTATCGCCGTGGGCATCCCTACCAATCCCCATTCTTTCACTGACCATGACTAGGAGAATGTAGCAGCAAGAGAAGTCAATACCTATTATATATCTTCTAGACTAGAATGCTATTAAAAAGTATCAATTGAGATTTTAAATTGGAGATTTTAAATTTGAATCTTGATTTTGGTGAGAAGGAATTTGGGAATTAAAAAAGATTATCTCTTTTTATATAACTCATAATCAGAAATATCAGAAAAAAAAAAATCTCGACTTAAATATGTTTGATTTTATTGTTAAATCAATTAATAGTTATAATTGTTAATTAATAATAATTTATAAAACAATTGTATCTATTAATTTGAAATAATCTTATATGTTGATGTTTTTAAACACATTAATTATAAATTTCTAAAATCTGTTAGATCAAATTAATTTACAATATATTTGTATGGTCTTCACAAATATTTATAGACTATAACCTAAATTTAGGGGAACAATTAGGTATGTATAAAACCATCAATGAACCGATTAGAACGGTATATTAACAAATCACAAATTATAAATCAAATCAAAACCACCAATAAAACTACCAAACAGACTTTGACAGACTCGATATCATGCATCTAAATAAATATGTAAAAAAAAAAAAATTAAATCTCCTTGTGGAGATTTTGGTATAGTTGAATTCTTTTTTATTATATTGATAGGATATCGATTTTTGAAATTGTCACCGTAAAGGTTATTAGAATTGAGTTATGCCCATGATTGAGATCTTAAATTGATCTGCAGTTGACATCCCATTTATCACATTTTTTGTGTGAATTTTACATGTAGTATTCTCACTGAGTTAGATTCACATTTTGTGTATATTTATCAAATTTTTTTATTATTTTCTTTGGTTGTGTAATTTGATTGTTAGTTAGGAATATTTTGAATATATATACCTAAATAAAGAAATATTGTGAACATTAATTTTTCCATTATAAAAATGCATATTTCTAAGTAAAGTTATTGTCACATCCTATATTATATTAATAATACATCCTTTAAATGTAATTATTTATTATATTCTTTCATTACAATTTTTCTCAAAATTTCATTTTTTTATTTCTTAATAAATTAAAAAAAATATAATAATCAATTAAAATTAAAAAATAAAACATTAATAATTAAAAATAAGGCAATAACATCACCTCTTATTTCCTTATGTATATTCGATGCACAGATAAATATAGAAACTCTATCTTAACATTTATGACATGAT